CTGGGAGAGCCCTCCCCTCTCCGCCCACTGCAGCCAGGCTAGAGCGGACCTTCCCTTGCCCACAGCACAGCAGGCCGAGCCTGCCACGGGTGGGGGCTGCCCTGGCTGGGCTGGAATGGGCCCCCAGGAACAGCCCCCATTTTCCAAAACCAAGGACGAACCACAGATTTTTCCTGGGAGCATTCTGGCCTCTGGGAAAGCAGCACAGATAAGGGTCGCGCCTGATTTAACACAACTACAGCTAACGGGAAAGCGCACGCGATTTCCATGGGGCAGGGAGGCGCTAAACAGCTCCTGGTCAGAATCACATCCCCAGAAGCAACATCACAAAGCTAGATGCGTTGCCAGGGCGCTCGGGGACAGGGGTGAGAGCCCTCGCCGCTCAGAGTACTGCCAGACACACAGTCCTCACCCACTTGCCACACTCAGCCAGGGCCAGGAATGTGTTTCTGTTAACCTATTCTGAGCTGGATTCTTATTCTGCAAGTTACTCTTTTCCCAGCACTGCATGGGAGAGTCCACCAATTACAGAAGCTGCTCCAGCTTACCAGAGTTTGAGCAATCTGCTCCTGGAAGCAGCTGGAAGATCCCACATCCATCTCACAAGGCCATGCCTCCCCGCTGGTTCTCCGCCTTGCGCCCCCAACCTGATCGCCCTCTGCAGCCTACATCAGGGCTGGCTTCACAGATCTAAGCAAGAAATGTGACCATTCAGGTCTCTATGGAAGGAGGACAGGAGTGGCAAGGGGGGGGGGGAAGCAATCTGAGAGTGGAACATTAATTAACTGAGGCTTTTGTTCAAATTCTAAACAAGCTTTTAAAGGGCATCTTGAGTTACACCGGCTCTGATAACTAAAGCAGGCCAGCCAAACTCAGAGCGACCCACATACGGCTGCATTTCCAGGAGCGCCTGGTGTTTAGGATCACCGGCTCGACAGGAGCGTGGCCATGGCTGAGCGCTAGCCAAAGGGCTGCCTTCACGCACAGCTGCCAGCAGCACAGGCCCTGGCTACGCTGCACTTACACTGCACGTTTTCCTCCCCACGCAGACAGCTGAGGGAATCCGCTCCTGTGAACCGGCACCTCAGCATGCAACTCAAAACTCCGTCCACGACAGCTCGACAGCCGCGTCGTGACAAAGCGAGGCGCTGCTGAACAAGCCTGCACAAACCAAGCCCTCTGGGCTGATTTCAGGGGAAGGAACGCCTGCATGGCTGGGGCTAGGGAACAACCCAAAAGAGAAGAAGGTGGCAAAGAGCTTCTCATCACTGGCAGCATCCCAGGGAAAGGGGAAGATATGGGACGCCAGGGTCCAGCCCCTCACTGCTGCTAATTCCCTGCCATTGATAGGAGAAAAGAGAGTGCATGCCCCACACAAATCCCAAAGAACAGGGCCCCAAATACCACAAACAAGGACATCTAGGCTACAACTGGCACGCATCATGTTACCCCTTTCCTCAGCTCGGCCCACACTTCTGCCTTGTGCCGGTGATGTGCTCTGTTAGACCCTCAGCACTTTGGGGAAGGCCTCCTGTTTCCTACCTGCCTGTACAGCACCTCGCACAAGCGGCCCTGGCCTCGCCAGCCTCCAGGATGTTAAATAACTAGAGCAAAAGGCTTCCGGCGACTCATCGTAAGTCTCCAAAAGATGTCTTTTGAAGACCTGTGACAAAAGGGCTCAGGGCTTCTCCGGCTGGGCTTTGGAGCATAACGAGAGTTTGAAAATGAAGGGGAATGGAGTGTTTACCGCCAAGGGTTCTTTTCCTCACAGCCCTGGTCCCTTCTCTTTCCCACCCCTTCCCCTGATGAAAATGGCCTTGCATGTCCACCATTCAATCCACCAGCGTCCCAGTGAACACAGCTTTACTAGGTCTGTCTTTTGGCAATGGGGAAGGCACCACCCTAGGCTCTGTGGCCTTTCTGGAGAAAAGACAATATCCCCACCCGTGTTTTCAAATGAGAGTCTCCTGAAAACTAGAGATTCCTTCTCACACACCAGCTATCAGGTAGTGTGGACTGGAGAACAGGCCCAGAAACTCAAGATCCATGACAGCAGCGAGCATCAGAGCTCCGCTATCAGCCCGTGCCAAATCAACCTCCCCTCACACCCACCCCAGAGGCTGACAGGAAAGGCAGGTGCTGCAAGCTAGCTACTTGTCTCCTTTCACACACCATTCACCAAGAGGAATTAGCGAGCTACCCACCCCAGCCCATCTCACTGCCCACTGTGGCAACTGCACTCCACTAAGTCTTTCTGGCTAGCAAAATGAAAGCCCCGGTGGGCTTTGATACTAGGAAACAGGATGAAGCGGGATAACACAAAAGTGACATTCAGCATGAGGGGGTGCCACACTCTTCTCTTTGAGAAAGGCAGTGCATTCATTATTAGATAGATTTAGAACGTGCCCATCACCCTAGCATCTGGACACTATAACTTCTTTGGCAACAGTATAGGTTTGGAAGGCAAGGAAGGAACTGAACAATAGCCCATATTTAAAATCTAGAAGTGGGGGCAGGGATGACCTTTGACCTTCTCTCCCCATGAACTGGTCCATTCAGGCATTTTCTAGCCTCCGTTTCTGTTGAAGGCAGAATGAGCAAAGTATTCTTGCTAAAAACAAGTTGCTGCCCTAGCGCCTTCAGGCAACACACTCAGGTCCCTAAGGAATCCCACACAAATCAGAGGAAGAAATGACTTCTGAGGTGCCATCTAGCCCTGGCCCACTAGGTTGTCCCCTTCAAGTACAATTGTTAGTGGCAGTTGTAAGCATCCTGGGCACCCAGATTTTCACCTTTTCCCTGGTTAGACTCTTTCACCATTTCACAGATCTCACTGTTGAGACATCTTCCATGATATGCATCCTAAAACCCTGATTCACAATAGTGGTGGTTATGGACTAGCGTCAGTTCAGCTACCACCATTTCTTCCACAGCTAGAGAAGTCCATGTAGGGAGCAGGAGAAGACATATTATGCTAGGTGGAACTCCCAGAGATTACCCAGTCACCTTCTTAGTATTCCTGTCCTGAAAAGATGCTCTTCACCTGAAAACAAACATCACCTTTGCTAATGGAGTTGAGCGATCGGAGGCTGGGTTTTAGGGGGTTTGTTTGGGTTGGGTGATTTTGCTGACCACTCATCAGCAAGTTTAAAGCAGTAAGAACATTTATTTTCTAGATACAAAAGATTCACATTATGCTGTCTCTTCCAGCATTTCAGAAGTGTGTACACACAGGTACTAACTGCTACACAATCTGCCTCTGAGCCACAGTAACCAAATTGCTAGTTCTTCCCCCTTTGCATAGTATGCCTGATGCTCACAGTTTAACAGCAAAGGGTTAAGATAAAAACACAACAAAAGTAAGCACAGTAACAAACACAAGTTTCTCCCACTTTCCTAGCATCATTTGGATCTCTCTACCCAATACTCCAGCCCAGGGTAAATACAAGCCATTTCGAACGCAAACATTACATTAGGCTCATATTTACTTTCCCTAATTCCTTTAGCTTCTGAGCAGATTTGCTGGAAAAGAAAAGCCATAACATGGGAACAGGTCCGCGTTTCTCTCTAGAATTGCTTGGGCATTCATTACATTAAACGTGTTAACAGCACTTGGGATCTGTGGTAGCCCAGTCATCTTTATCGGCTAAAGGTGACTAGCAAAGCTCCTAAGGAGGGTGTCACAATTATTCCATAACGGTTGCTACAATTGCACTGAGACCAAATAGCACAGCCTGAGGAAAAGAGCCATCAAAGCGCACCCTTCAAACAAGCTATTTCACAATGGAGGTGGAAAATAAATAAATAACTGTCAATTACTCATTCCAACCCTTGCTGCATTTAACTGCCAGGATAAAGAATTCCACCTCATTTCTGTAAACCTCCCACAGGCAACTTACTCATGGGGCTACATTTCCCTAAATGCCCACATTTCAATTAGCATTAGAATAATGAAATTGCTTGGAGTTCACCTCACCAAAAACGTACTGAACACTGAAGAGCAGAGAGTGTAGAAGATGGGGGATTTTTTAAACACACACATAAAACAGCATGAAGGGGGGGGGGGGGGGGCGCTGAAAATCCAGTCCCTTCCCGCTCTGCGCTGATGAGATTTGCATGGGGTTTGCTACCAGCCTCTCCAAACAAGGATAATGCAACTTTAAGTTGATTTTCCAGATAAACAAGCATGCAAACAAACGCAAAGTGCTCCACTAAAAATATCTGCCTCCTACACATACCCCCGCTACCCGGAGATGAAAATACACAAATCCCAGCTCAGCATGAGAGTGGGGCTGGAAAATTGTAGCAACTGGAGGGACATCTCACTCCCTCCCCCGCTTTTGCCCTTAAAAAAGTAGAAACAGCAGCTTTCCTGAGAGAGGCAGCCGGGGCAGAGGAGAGTGGGTTTGCCAGTGTGGGGATAAAACCTGATCGGCTCCGAAGTCTCTACCCGAGCAGGCGCCTGAGAACCGCTGTGGGTGCCCAGTTTGTGCGTGTTTCCATCGCTGGGCTCACACCACCAGTGAAAAGAAGAGGTCGCTTCACAGCATCTCTGCCCACAGCCCTCCCCTGCTAAAGCCCTTTCATCTCATCGACTTGATTCCACTCAAACGTGAGCCAAACTGTTGCTGCTTCAGCGGGGGCAGAAAATCCTCTGCCCGGCAACCCAGGCTAGACAAGGAGAGACCAATGCGTGTTTCCATCGCTGGGCTCACACCACCAGTGAAAAGAAGAGGTCGCTTCACAGCATCTCTGCCCACAGCCCTCCCCTGCTAAAGCCCTTTCATCTCATCGACTTGATTCCACTCAAACGTGAGCCAAACTGTTGCTGCTTCAGCGGGGGCAGAAAATCCTCTGCCCGGCAACCCAGGCTAGACAAGGAGAGACCAACCATCATCCATAGGGCACCTGAAATCCACACGCCGGTTTCTCCCCTTACGCCGGTGTCTCGGGCAGCCGTGGAGAAAGGGGCCCCACCGGGGTGGGAAGAGCTGACTCACATCGAAGTGATGTTCCTGGAGATGTCAGTGATGTTGATGCTGGTGTTGCCATTGCTGGTGCCTGAATCCTGCCCTTCCAAGAGAGGGAAGAGGTTCCCGTCATCCAGCTTCTTGCAATTGATGTCTGTCTTGCTGCAAAGGCAATTGGCAGGGCAAGCCAGCACCGAAAGCACATAGTCTCCCCAAATGCTCCAGAGCAAAAATACCCTCCAGAAACTACACTTGGTCGGGCAAAGAGAGAGGGGGGAGAAGGGGAAGGAAACAAAGACAGAGGGAGGAAAAAAACTCAAACGATCAGATGCAAAAATCCTCCAGCAGATGAAATCATGCTGGCAGCTGGCTAGGAGAAGCTGTAATTCCCCCTACAGTAGCGGTCTGAGACGCATAGTGGATAGGGCTGCCTTGTTGATTGCAGACTGGCTCTCGGTATCAGGCGCTCTCGCTCGCTCGCTCTCTCTCTCTCAGACTTCTGAGGATTGCAATAGAAGATGGGGAGGCAGCACACACAAAAAATGGTGCTAAAGTCACCAAGTCCCACCTACTGGGCAGAATTAAAATTGACACACCTGCAAAAAAACCACACAGAGGCAGAAGAGAGGATCAGGAGAGGAGGGTGCACCCTGCCCGTCCCCTCCCCCACGCCGGCTGGATCTGCTGCAGCAGGAAGATGCATACAAAAAATATATAGAGTCTCGGCGTGTTCGTCTCTCTGCAATACAAGGATCCCCCCCCCCACACACACACACACACACACACACACACACACACACTTAAAAAAAGAGGCTGCGATCAAAGCTGAGGATTGGCGACGAGGAAAGACATCCCGGCTAGAAGAGGAAAAGTTACAGTTGGGATTGCAATTGAGAAGAGGGGGAGGGGAGATTGTCTTCTGCAGGTTTTTTTACTTTCTTTTTCTCCTTTTTTTAAAATTGGGCTGCAATCCGGATCGCCAGCGGGGAAAGCCGTGCACGGACACAGAGGAGAATAACTCCAGTGTGGATTACAGGCGCTTTGTATGTCGGCGTTGATTTGGTAAAGATCCCGGGGAGAGAAAAGGCAGCTCCCAGGGATGGGTGTCAACCCGCTTGGAGAGCGTCCAAGAAGCACTTTCTAGAAATGCACCCCCACCCAAATAGAGGCGGTTGGAAAAAAAACGCAGAAGGGGACCCAGTGGATCGCTTGGAGCTGCCAGCAGAGCCCCGGACAAGGGGAATCTCCTTCGTTCCCTTGCCACAGCGGCAGCAGAGTCTGCAATCAGACATGCACCCCCCAAAAAATAAAAATACCGAAGAAGTGGTGACCAGGCTGAGCCGAGAGGCGAGATGGCATCAGGAGAGCAGCGTGTGAGAGCTCAACAGCAGAGCGAATTAAGATGCATGGTGCATTTTTGGCAAGCGCAGACCCAAGCAGATCAGAGCTCCGCTTAATTTGCTCGGCTTTTCTACAGCGCTTTCCTACGTGCTGCTTTGTGTGTGTGTGTGTGTGTGTGTGTAAGTTTCCTGTGCTGCTTCTCCGCACTGAGCCAGGGAAATACAGGAGCAGGGTTGCAAGCGGGTGGTGGGGCAGAGGCAGGGATCACAGGTGCGAAGCCCTCCCCATATATCCCTGCTCGCTGCCAGAGAGCGGGACTCGCTTCCAGGCCTGGGGCAAACACTGCGAGTCTTGGCTGCTGACCCAGTCGAAGCCGAGTGAGCCGGGAGGGCCAGAGCGAAGCAGCACGCACGCACCGAATCCCCCATGCAATCAAAGCAGGCCAGCTAGAGAGGGGGGGGGGAGACAGAGGCTACAGCTTGCCCTGTAGCTTTCGGGAAGGATTCCCAGCAATTCGTGGCACTCACACAAGGGGGCTGGAGTTGCCGTTCAGCCCCCAAAGCTGCTGCAGAATAGATTGAAGGGGATCTGTGGGCTGGGATCAAACCTCTGTACCATCTCTCTTAGTTCTTAGCGTTGGTCCAGCATGCATGGTGTCAGGTGCTGGACACTCTAAAGTCATTTGTTTGCACTTGTCCCAGACTGGACAGCAAGGTCTAGTAAATAGACCAGAGGAAAGGACCCTCCCCAGGGTCCCTACCTGGACTAGATGGGACTGAAGTGGGCTTTCCCATCGCTGTGGCCTGTGGTCCATGGTAGCTGTACTGGTGCCAATTTGCTGTAATGTTTTGGGAGGAAGGATGGGCCCAGAGCCAAGGCTGAAAATGAGGAGACCAGAGCTCTTCCTCTGGTCCCAACCTTCCCTGTGGTTTTGAACAAGACATTCAAACCAAAATTCCAGTCTTGGGTACCTCAAGCTAGTCCCTAAATCCATAGTTAGGCACCTATATATTAGAGGCCTAGGTCCTCACTAGCATCAATGGGAGCTGTCAGGACTCAGCACCTCTGAGTGTCAGATCACTGATTTCAGCCCTCATGTACGAATTCAGGTTCGTAACTTCAGGCGCCCAGGATTCAAAGTTTTGCTCGGACCTGCTCCAGGCCTTGGTTTCTCCATGCATAAAAGGGGATCATGATCTTGACTCAACTCCAGGAAGCACTAGGAGGGTCCATTCATTCCTGTTTGGATAAAGCTTTGAGATCCAGATATGGAAGAGGCTAGAGAACAGCAACGTAACTGTATTGTTTGGTACATCTGTCAGTATTTTTAATGAGAGCCACCCCCTGTTCCCCCCCACCCTCTGGAACGCAGCCTCTCATTCTTCTTGTTATGTATCTGTTGAGTGCTGACAGCATGGTTGGCGCTGTCCAAAGCACAGAAAACATTGTCTCCTTGCACTAAACAAACACCAGGCACTAGTGCAGACACATGGCTGTGCCAGGGGACCAGAAGGGTGTGTTCCATCAAACAGCAGAGTGACAGGTCTGCCTGTTTCGTTTCCCAGTGAACAACAACCCTTCTTTGGGTGACAGATTAGCACCAAGGGGGGTTCCTTCTACCAGAGCCTGCCATGGGGTCAACCTCCTGTGTTTGTGATATCACAGTGTGTTGCCATGGAAATGACTGTAATGTCACAAGCTTGGCAAGAGGACATCCCTGCAGGATCTAGCAGGAGGAGATGGCAAACTCTTTTGTTTGAGGATAATTAGACAAAAAGATCTCTTGGCTAGTTTCACAAAAAGGAGCAAGACCAGCATGCAGGGGTGACCCACCTCGTGCAGCCTGCTCTTTCAGGGCAATGGATTCGCAGCTCCCACCTGAGCTCTGTATTCCAAAGAGCTGTGATCTTGCTTAGCATTTGGGTGTGACTCATGCATGAGCATTTCTCCCCTGGTGGCAGCCCGGCTTGAAAGAGAAACATTGTGTTTTCAACACCCTCTGTCCCTGTTTAAATTCTCCTCCGCACATTCTGGGAGCAGAGAGAGAGAGATGCTTGGATTTAGAACAAATGAGGAACCTCCAAAGACTCTTTGGAGAGCTGCTTGGGAATAAGAGGGGATGTGGCAGAACAAGCTTAATTGCGAAAGCAAAGTGGGACCAAGGAGGGGATTTATTATTTATTTGCTGGGCTGGAGACAGGAGGAATCAAGAAATAGGGCTGCCTGGCTTTGGGGGCTGACAGGAGGACAGGAGAAATGCCTGTCACAAAGAATGTCTAGAAAAGAAGGGGACAGATGTGTCCCTATCAGCTCATTGAATGCAGATGAGCAGTCAGACCTGGGAAGCAGCTAATGCTCCCCAGAGCTCTGCTGCTCCAGCGGCAGGTGGGCGAGTGGTGTTAACAAGCACAGGGACCTCTCTGGGTACGTCTAGACAACACGCCTTTTGCGAAAGAAGCTTTTTCGAAAGATACTTTTGAAAAAGCCTCTTTCAAAAAAAAAAAAGTGTCTAGACTACAACCAGTACTTTCGAAAAAGCAAGCTGCTTTTTTTGAAAGAGAGCACTCAGGCAGTCTGGATGCTCTCTTTCGAAAAAGCACAGTTTGCATTACATAGCGCCTTTTTTCGAAAGAGCACTTTCGAAAACAGACGTTCTTCCTTGTAAAACGAGGTTTTCCGTGGTCGAAAAAACTGCCACGTTCTTTCGATTTACTTTCGAAAGAACACGGCAGCAGTCTAGACACGGGGGAAGTTTTTTTCGAAAAAAGGCTACTTTTTTCGAAAAAACCCTATAGTCTAGATACACCCTCTGTGTCTACAGTTCCAGGACCAAATCCTGACCTATATACCCAGGCAAAATTCTCACTGGCTGAGGAAGGGGTGAGTCAGTGCTGAGGAAGGGATTCAGGGCTACATGCATTAGCTAGTGGGCTTGATTCACTGATGTGCCCATGGGGGCTGCAATGTGCACTTTTTGTACCCATGGGTAGCTGCACCAGAGGGGGGATTCACCCCTACAAGTGGGCAGGTTATGCCCAGTCAGGGCAGGAGCTCCAGAAGAATCCTACCAACAGAGGATGCCCAGCAAATTGACCTATTGAACCCCTCTGTCATGGGCCTCCTTTGGTACTGCCCCCTCTTCTCATTGGGCCCACCCATTTTAGGGCTGTACCACCTGTCTCTGTGTACGACAGCTTGCACTGTTGTGTCTCCCCTACTCCTGGGAAGTATCCCCTACAGCTGAGCCTTGGGTCCTTCAAGCAGAAGAGACTGCATGCAACGTCCAATTAGATGTCTGGGTGAATGTTTGCTCAGGTACTCCAGTGCGGGAGAGGCCAGAAAAGCCCTTGGACACATGGGCAGCAGATAGACACGTATGGGCACTACGGTAATGCAAACAATAATATAGCTTTAACCACTGCCCTTCATTTGAGGTAACCATGAGAGGCAGTTAAGCATACGTCATCGCCCAAAGCAAAGGCATAAATGAGTCAGATCAGGAATTTACAATGTGGGCAGAGGGACTTTGCTCGCTATTGTTTTAACCAAGGGCTGGTGCGGTGAGGAACAAGCAGGGCAGAGACAGATGCTGCCTGGAAGTGTGATGTGGCCATGAGAGAAGCCAAGAGCTAAAAGAAACTTGAACGTTGCCTCCCAGGATTGGATTCCTCCTGTGTGCAGGGAAATGGGACACTGCACATTTTTGGTAAATAAAAAAGACTGTGTCAAAGAAGAGCCTCATCAGTGTCTCCTCCGGTCTGACTAGCAGCAGGGATCACAAGGGGTAACACAATAACAATGTAATTCCCATGCTTGATGGTGCAGGCCTAAAAATACGGTACCCAAGCCATGCCTGTGCATTGTGCACGTGTCATTTTCAAGCCATAAAGTCTAGACACACCCTCCGTGTCTACAGTTCCAGGA